TAAAAATTTTTCTTCTACCAGTCCTTCGTCACCTTAAGCGAAATTGGGTGAATACATCTCATATCACTAATAATAATCGGATTTTCTCCTGTTTATGAGCATCGAACACTCGCATTATACTAACTACTGCGCTTCTGCTATTCTTAGTCTATTCGTTTTAAAATCTATGGGAAGGTCAATTTCTTTTTTTTTCCTTTTCAACTCTCCTCGTGGACATTTTACCTATGTACGAAAACCTTTATGAATTCACATTAAATTCGTTTTAATTGATCAATATATAATGCGTGCTATATGAATTTATACTGATGATACGATATAGTGTAATTTATACATAATAGGGAATAATTGTATAAATTCTAATTCAATTATAGGAAGATGCTATTTTTACCTTGCAAACGAATTTATCATTCAGGTAGGGTGGGCAGAAAACATTGTTTTCACTTCCATTTCGATTGAAAGTGTGATGAAGAGCCTTTAAGTTCGATCTCACCAGTAGGCGTCTGTCGCTTCCTCATGGCCAACTGTCGATTGAATTCACTGAAATATTCCTACTCCGAAACAATCTTCTTCGATTCCGGTGAAATTGTCATAAGCTTAGTCTTTGTTGAGCTTACTTCCATTTCGAGTGAGTGTTGAGTGAAGAGATTCGAAGATCGCTTTCACCAGAAGATGACTGTGGATTTCTCTTGACCAGCTGTCGATTGGCTCTACTGGAAGTTTCATGCTGACGCTGTTTTCGAGGTAATCTTCTTCGATTCCGGTGAGAAAGTGAGAAGGTGAGAAGTCCGTCATATGACGAACATCATCAGAGCAAGGTATCATCGTTACAACAAAATTTAGGTTAATGAGTCAAGAAAACTCACCGGCAAATCTCAAAAAAGTGGTATATATACTCTACATCCAGCCTCTTTGACCAAGTATCAAGTGATTTGGTTAGTTAAAGTCATATGTCAACTTCGATGCATGTGAGTGTGTCTGTATTTATATGTGCATGTGCTTGTTCGTGTTTGCTTATGCACAAAACCCGCAGTGATGGCTCAAAGTAATTAGAACAGCAAAAAGGAACGTCTGTTTTCGGCCATCAAGGTCTGATGACCCCTATCTCCCCCTTTCTACATACATGTTATAATCATCACTCCGATTGCGTAAGGTTGGACATTTGTCTGGTTTTGTTGATCAGCCTTTTTTGTTTAGGTCTCAGTGCGAGAGAGAAAGAGTAAGCTAAAAGTACAGAACTTGCGCAATCAGAATGATGGTTATAACATGTATGTAGAAAGGGGGAAATAGGGATCATCAAAACATTGTTGAACAAAAATATACGTTCCTTTTGCTGTCCTAATTACTTTGAGCCATCATGGCGGGTTTTGTGCATAAGCGAACACATACACAGACAGACACACTCACATGCATCGAAGTTGACATATGACCTTAACTAACCAAATCACTTTATACTTGA